AGACAACCCCCCCAAAAAAAACCCCCCCCCCCCCCCCCCCCCCCGCCAAAAAAGAAGAAAAGAAATAAAAAATTAAAAACAATGTAGTTCCTGCAAAAGTGAGTCCGGCATAGAAAGGAGTCCCACAAATGGCCTCAGAGGAGTAAGAGCATGGACACTTAATCATTAGGTGACAGCCAAAGAAAATAGATGTTCATGTATTTATTAAAATAGTAACCAGGGCTGGAGAGATGGCTCAGAGGTTAAGAGTGCCGACTGCCCTTCCAGAGGACCTGAGCTCAATTCCCAGCAACCACATGGTGGCTCACAACCATCCATCATGAGATCTGGTGTCCTCTTCAGGTGTGCAGATATGCATGGAAGCAGAATAATGTATACAAAATAAATAAATAAAATCTTTAAAAAAAATAGTAACCAAAGTGGTGAGACAGAACCTGATCTACATATCAAGTTCCAGGCCAAACGAGACTGCATTGTGGGACCTCATCCCTCATCTATAATAATTATGATGATGATGATAATGCCAAAAACATTTTGTGAGTTTGGATCAATATTTCATACAATGCATATATAACTAGCCAAGCATGGTAATCCATAGCTCCAATTCCAGCACTCAGGAGGCTGAGACGGGTATTCCATGCAGAAGAAACCCCACCTCCCACCTCCCACCCCCATCCAAGTCACATGTCACGCGCGCTTGGGACTAAACGGATCTGCACACTCCGGGCAGTGCGCTCACGCAAACGCTTAAACCAAGAAGCTGCCGCCACATGTAGGGAGGAACCATCTGGGCCAGCGGGAGCGGGGGAGGATAGGTTGAGTGAGCAAGAGCAGGGTTAGGACCAGGACCAGGACCACAGGGGCTTGGAAGCCTGGCAACTGGCTGGCCACATGCATGGTGAGGCCGGGAGGCGCTCTGCAAGCGTAGCCCGGAGGCTGCAGTGGGGCCTGGCAGCTTGCACAGGATTGCACCCCTCCTCTTTTAGTGGACTTTGCAGCAGCCTGGAGAATCCCCGCCAAACCCCGTTCTCACCCAACTCCCCCTACTAGCCTTTGTCACTGGAGTTATGATCTGGGGACTGGAAGCGGAAATCTAGGGACCTGGGTATTGCCAGACGAGAACTCGGAACGCAGGGACCGGACGGCTCCAGGCAGAGATCTTGCCCTTCGCCATCTCAGCTACTCCAGGCCTCTTGGGATTGCGCTCCTTGGGCCCTGGGCCCCATGGCGGATAAGAAACTGGTGGTGGTTTTTGGAGCCACAGGTGAGTGAGCCAGTCCTGGCAAGGTCGGCCGAGCCGGGACCTCTCCCGCCCCTCCTTTGCAGGAAGTGCTACTGTGGTTCCCACACATATGGGTGGGAGGGTGGGGGAGAGGCAAAACCTCACCGCAGATTAGATATATAATCCGAGAACTCAGAAGGCAGAGGCAGAAGTCTTCCTGAGAGTTGGAAGCCAGAAGGTCTACAGAGCAACGTGTGTGTGTGTGTGTGTGTGTGTGTGTGTGTGTGTGTGTGTGTGTGTGTGTGTGTGTGTGTGCATCACGTGTATATTTGCACAGCAAACCAAACTTAAATTTTCTCCCTCCTCCCCCAGATAACAAATTTCCTTGGTATTTTACCTGAGTAAATGTAAATATCAGCCACGTTTTCAAACAACGGCATGTTACTTTGCTTCCATACACCTCCCGGTCCGCTCTGCCGAACCGTGGTGGTGTGTGGGGTTATTATCTATTTATTTTATGTGAGCTGTGTTTTTCGAGCATGCATGTCTGTGTACCATGTGTTTGAGATGCCTGATGAGGCTAGAAGAGGACATTGGATCCCCTGGAATTATTGTTAGCCAACATGTGAGTGCTGGGGATCAAACCCTGGTCCTCTGTACAAGGTCTAATCTCAGCATTTGGGAGCAGAAGCAGGGGGAATCTCTGACTTCCAGGCCAGCCAGGGCTACATAGCAAGACCCTTTTCAAAATAAAATAAATAATGGGGGCTGCAAAGATGCTTCTTTTTTTTTTTTTTTTTTTTTTTTTTTCCAGCTCTAGCTGTCCTGGAACTTGCTCTGTAGACCAAGTTTGCCTCAAACTCATAGAGATCCATCTGCCTCTTCCTCCTGAGTGCTGGGATTAAAGGTGTGCACCACCACTGCCTGGTTATATCTTTATTCAAGACAGAGTCTCATGATGTAGCCCAGGTGCCCTTGAACTCGTTAAAACACATTTTATGGGCTGGAGAGATGACTCAGAGGTTAAGAGCACTGACTGCTCTTCCAGAGGTCCTGAGTTCAATTCCCAGCAACCTCATGGTGGCTCACAACCATCCGTTATGAGATCTGGTGCCCTCTTCTGGTGTGCAGATATACATGGAAGCAGAATGTTGTGTACATAATAAATAAATAAAATCTTTAAAAAACAAAAACAAAAAAACACATTTTATTAAATTTTATGCTGTGGGTGTGCACATAGCCACTGGGCACTTTTGGAGGTGAAAGTACAACTTGCTGAAAAATTGGTTCTCTCCTTTTTGGTCCCAGAGATGGAGCTCAGATGTTAGACTTAGTGTCAAGCCCCTTTACCCACCAAGGCACTCCATGGTTCAAGGCCTGGACTTCTGATCCTGCTTCCACAGCCTCCTCAGTTATGGCTGTGGTCCACTATTAGGAGCCTTAGTGTTTGTGGTGCTGGAGATGGAACCCAAGACCTCACAGGAATCCGGCACTCTACCCTTGATCCATTTGTGCCCCACCCTCACTCCCATCCCAGTATAGTTGAAAAAAAAGTTTTGGTTTTGAAGCATGGTCTCACTTTGTAGGTCTGGCTGTCCAGGAATTCACTGTGTATACCAAACTGTCTTTGAACTCACAGAAATCCACCTACCTTTGCTTCCAGAGTTCTGGGATTAAAGGCATGTGCTTTCATACCTGGCCCAATTTTCCTTTTTTAAGGTGGATTGTGACATCCAGACAGACTAGCTTTAAACTCCTTCCGTCCAAGCTGTCCTTCCTCATCAGTGGCCACTGCCTGGTTAGAAAATGTTGCCAGGCTCTGGTGGAGCACACCTTTAATCCCAGTACTCGGGAGGCAGAGGCAGGCGGATCTCTGTGAGTTGGAGGCCAGCCTGGTCTCCAGAGTGAGTGCCAGGATAGGGTCCAAAGCTACACAGAGAAACCCTGTCTTGAAAAACAAAACAAAACAAACAAAACAAAACAAAAAAAAGGCAAAGAAATGCTTACAGAACACCTTACTTCAGTTCCCAGCACCCATGTTGGCCCAATCACAACTGTCTGTAACTCTGGTTTTAGGGGATCTACTGCCCTTTTCTGGCTTCCATGGACACCAAGAACATATGTGCTATACAAGCACACATAGAGGCAAACATTCATACATATAAAATAAATCTTTTTTTTTTTTTTTAAAGATTTTATTTATTATGTATACAACATTCTGCTTTCATGTATATCTGCACACCAGAAGAGGGCACCAAATCTCATTACAGATGGTTGTGAGCCACCATGTGGTTGCTGGGAATTGAACTCAGGACCTCTGGAAGAGTAGTCGGTGCTCTTAACCTCTGAGCCATCTCTCCATGTAAACCTCATGCTGTGGTGGCTCATGCCTATATTTCCAACATTCTGGAGAAAGAGGTCAGAAGAAAAAAACATTCAAAGTCTCTAAACAAACAGACAAATCAACAACAACAACAAACTAGTAAAGAAGCCGAGTTTGGTAGTATATTTCTTTAAATGCAAGCACTTAGGAGGCAGAGGCAGAGGCAGGGGGGATCTCTGTGTGGTCAGGGCCAGCCTGGTCTACATCTGATTTCCAGGTCAGCCTAGGCTTCACAGTGAGATTCTGTCTCAAAACAAAACAAAAGCAACCTCCCCCAAATCTAGAAAACCTAAAAGTAGTTTAGCAACACTCATATATCTCTGTGCATTTTTTTGTCCTGGGGAGCAATCTCTTCTGGGCTCTACTCTGCTTAACTCTGGCAGTTGTGATCTTACTCTTCATAGGTGCCCAAGGTGGCTCAGTGGCACGCACATTGCTGGAAGATGGGACATTCAGGGTACGAGTGGTAACAAGGAACCCAGAGCAGAGAGCAGCCCAAGAGCTGAAGCTGCAAGGTGCTGAAGTAGTACAAGGAGACCAGAATGACGATGCTAGCATGGAGCTGGCACTAACAGGAGCCCATGCCACCTTCATTGTGACCAATTACTGGGAGCATTGCAGCCAGGACCGAGAAGTTAAGCAGGTAAGGGTGTGAGAAGGCCCTGGGCCCCAGCTGACCCGGAGGGCAGCTTTGACTTGCTAGGGAGGGCTAAGCACTTCAGGCCCCGCTTTTTTCTTGTTGCTCATCAAACACAGATGGAGGACACACCCTCCACCTAGCTCTTGAGACCCTGCATAGGCAAACCACTATATCCTGCAGCACATGGGACAAGGATCTGGTTGAAACAGATTTGTCTCCTCAATCCTGGGAAACCCTTGTGATCCCCCTGGGGCTACAATAACCAGACTCCAGGTAGCCCAAAGCCACAGAAATTGTCTTACAGTTCTAAAAGCTAGGTGCCAGATCGAGGTGCCACTACGGTCACAGTCCCTTCAAACACTTCAGGAGGGGTGCTTCTTCAGCTCTTCCAGCTTCTGTGGCTCTAGGTATACCTATGCTTATGTATCATGCCAGTATATGCCTCCAAATTCTGGCTTCTTCTTGTATGTTTTGTTTTGGCAGGGAGGGGTAACACAAGGTCTTGCTATGTAGCCCAAGTCAACCAGGAACCTGTAATCTTGAATGCTAGGATTATAGGCATTATGCTAGGATTATATGCCACTATGCCTGGCTTATTATTAATAATTTAACTTATTTTTATTTTATGTTTGTGGTGTTGTCTATGTTATTTTCTATTGATATGAAGGGACACTATGAACAAAGCGACTTGTGAAAGAAAATGTTTATTAGGGCTCATGGTTCCAGAGGGTTTGAGTCCATGATCGACATGGTGGGACACATGGCAGGAGACAGGGAGGCATGACACTGGAACATGGGTACAAGGCCCAAAGAGAGTGACTTAGGAATGCCGTGGGCTTTTGAGAACCATCCCCAGTGACACACCTTCTCCAATAAAGCCATATCTCCTAATTCTTCCCAAATAGTCCTACCAGTAGGATCAAGTATTCAAGCCTATGGGGACTGTTCTCATTCAAACCACCACAAGTGTCTTGTCTGAATTTATGTCTGTGCACCTCTTGCATGCATTGCTCACAGAGGCCAGACGAGGGCATCAGATTCCCCTGGAACTGGAGTTACAGTTGTGAGCTACTATATGGGTGCTGGGAAGTGAATCTGGATCCTCTGGAAGAATAGCCAGTGCTCTTAACTAATGAACCATCTCTCTAGACGCTTGGCTCTCTTCTCTTAGGAGGATATTTACTTTGTATTTAGGATTTGTGTGATTGATCTAGGATGATCAAATCTCAAGACTGCTAATATTATCTACAAAGACCCTGTCTCCAAATCAAGTCACATTTACAAGTTTGCAGGGATACGGTATGGGCAGATCTTTTGGGGGGGGGCTGTGATTACATATTCCCAACTTTAATGGTATGGATCATTGTTTATTAACCAGTGGGGTCACAATGGATGGACTACTTGTCCTGGGTCACACAGCCCAGATGGACCTGAGTGGCCTTTGTGCTTAGCCATTAAGCTATAGCATCCCCAAAGAGGACTCTGAGCTCTCCAGTGAAGGCAGCTAAGTTCTTCAGTCAGCAAAAAATGGAGTATGCGCATCAAAAAGGCTTCTCTGCACCACTTCACTAGGCAGCCTTGCTCCCTTTTTATAGTTTTCTTTCTTTCTTTTTTTTTTTTAAGATAAGGACACATGTAGCTGAGGTTGGCCTTGAACTCCTGATCTTCCAGGCTTCCCCTCTGACCTCACTTAGAAACCCCTTGGTGACCCTGGAGTTTGAAAGCTTAGTGTGGTGCTGTACCTGAGCATTATTCCAGAGCAGAGGGCTTCCTTGGGGTAGGTGGGTCTGGCTTTAGCATCACAGTTTAGGGTGCTGTGGAGTTAATTCATGTGTAGGGGAGGAGGGTCAGGAACACACAGCCCTCTTACCCTCGAAGTCTCTCCTTCCTGCTTCCCAGGGCAAGCTTCTAGCAGATTTAGCCAAACGCTTGGGCCTCCATTATGTCGTCTACAGTGGCCTGGAGAACATCAGGAAGCTGACGGCAGGAAGGCTGGCAGCAGGCCACTTTGATGGCAAAGGGGAGGTGGAGGAATATTTCCGAGACATCGGTGTTCCCATGACCAGTGTGCGGCTGCCTTGCTATTTTGAGAACCTCCTTTCCTATTTCCTGCCCCAGAAAGCTGCAGATGGAAAGAGCTACTTGCTGGGTGAGTGTCTTACTGCACAGTGAAACACAGTTCACAGTAAATGAAGCAACAGGTTTGGCTGAAAGTGGGGTTGTCACTGGATCACTCTGGGTTTAAGCCTAGGCTCCCTGACTTTAAGCTTGATACTGGAAGAGTCATATTTTTTGTTTTGTTTTTTTTGTTTGTTTGTTTTTGTTTTTTGAGACAGGGTTTCTCTGTGTAGCTTTGGAGCCTATCCTGGCACTCGCTCTGGAGACGAGGCTGGGCTCCAACTCACAGAGATCCGCCTGCCTCTGCCTCCCGAGTGCTGGGATTAAAGGCCTATGCCACCAACGCCCGGCTAGAGTCATCTAACTTAAGTAGGCCTCGACTTAAAATTCTGTGAAATGGGTTTAACACAATGGTCCTTTGGAGTAATGAGAAAACTAGCCAACGTTATGACTGCTCTTGGAACAGAAGGTGGAGGATGTAGATAGTATTTGCTGGCCAGTCTGTAAACAAACTGGATGGCCGACCTAACTTGGAAGGAACCTCAGCTAACTTGTGTCCTGTCAGTTGGTCAGTGGATTAGAGCAGGATGTATTGGAGGCCAAAGCTGAAGGGGCTGGTGCCTGCTGGCTGTTCTTTGCTCTCTATCACTCACCTTCTTGTGAGGATACAGGTGTTGGCAGAGTTCAGGAGTCCTATCTGCCCAATGAACAACAGACCACTGGCACACTTACAGTTTGCAAAACTTAAGTGTTGCTGACACTACATATCCATACTGGATATGTGTGGATGCCCAGAGGACTGACTGCTGGGAAAACCAGCTGCAAATCCCTTCCGAGGAACTCTGTCCCTGATAGCACACTTATCTGTTCTCACAGACTTGCCCATGGGTGATGTCCCCATGGATGGAATGGCAGTGAGTGACCTGGGCCCCGTGGTGCTCAGCTTGCTGAAGAAGCCAGAGGAGTATGTAGGGCAGAACATCGGGCTCAGCACCTGCAAGCACACAGCAGAGGAGTATGCTGCACTGCTCACCAGGCACATTGGCAAGACTGTACATCACGCAAAGGTGGGTTCTTCCCTCCCCAAAGCTGTGAGGCTCCAGATCTTGCAAGATGCTCCTAACTCCCAAAAGGAGTTTACTTTTTAAGACAGGCAGGTGGATCTCTGTGAGTTCGAGGTCAGCTGGTATACAGATTGAGTACCAGGACAGCCAGGCTACACAGAGAACCTGCCTGCAGGGGTGGGGGTCGATAAATGATAAAATGTGCACTAAGTGGCCAAGTGGCTTTAAAAGAGGTGGGACTAAGTCAAGGTTGTGGAGGAACTGAGGAGCTCAAGAGTTCAGATTGGGTTTGGAAGAAAAAAAGGGATAGTTTTGGCTTTTGAACAAGGAAGTGATACAGCTGACTTCAGCTCTGAAAGGCTCTGATGGCTTTCATCTTATAACTTTGAAAGAACAGTCTTTAAACTGATCAGTGCCTGTCAGAAGCCATGGTTTCTGTACTTCTGTCTTTCTATTTGGACGTGCTCACGTGGCCTCAAAGTAAGAGCCAGCACAGCTATATACCCTGGCTTCCCAGGACTCAGAAGGAAGCCAAGCCTACCTGGTGTCACTGGGGCTGTGAAGGAGGCAGACATGTGGGCTCTTTGTTTCCAGACAACTCCTGAGGACTACGAGAGGCTTGGCTTCCTGGGGGCCCGAGACTTGGCCAACATGTTCCGTTTCTATGCCCTGAAACCTGACCGGAACATTGATCTAACCCTGCAACTCAACCCCAAGGCCCAGACATTGGACCAGTGGTTGGAGCAGCACAAAGGGGACTTTGCACAGCTGTGACCTTGAACCCTCATCTGGGGAATGAGATGTACAATCATCTTTTCTTTTGTGATTTTGGGTTTTTCCCCAAATAAACCATGTTCACACAGACGGTTTCCCACAAGAAAAGGCCTCTGTTTGTGGGAAGTTAGTTGGAGTGGCAGCTGCATGAAAATGCCCTGATGGCATGGGAACACTAGTAGGAGGCACCAAGTAGGCACAAGGGCTTGTTTGGTATCTTTAAAGTAACGAAGTTACTCCACCTTTAACCCTGAGCAGTGTGGGCACATGATCCACAGGGAATCTCAGTGGAACCTCAGCCAGCCACCAGCAGCAATGTTTTGACATCCCGGCAGGCAGGGCTGGAGGCCCTGAGACCACCTGTGCATTTGTTCTGAATGAGGACAGACAACTAATAGAGAAGTCCTGGACCTTTGTCCTTTTCTCTCTCTTCACCAGAGCTCTGGACAGATGTAGCCAAGCTAGAAATAACCTTGGAGCTAGGGAGCTGGCCCAGTGAAGTGCTTGCTGCGCAAGCATGAGGTCCTGAGTTTGATTCCTGGCAGCCACTTATAGAAACAGGCAGGTGTGGATCTATAATAGAAGGAAGTCTCTGGAGCTCACTAGTCTTGACTTGAACCAGTGAGGGCCAGACCTACCTCACAAAGTCAGGTGGGGAGTGATGAGAGGAGGGCATCCAACATCAGTTTCTGGCCTTCATGTTTACATAGGCGTGTTCACCTGTACAGGTGTGTAACATGTACACATGCATACAAACACACCCATACAGAAAGAACCAGCGTGGCAGAGCTGTGGACCACTGTGGAGATGAGGCAATGTTGCCTGTGGCTAAGACCAACATGATAGGTCTGCTTACCTCTGAGCCCTTCAGAGGAAGCCATGGTAAGTCTGAGAATTCACAGCTGGGTATGGTTAGTCTAACAACTGACACATCATCTTTTTATTGTCCTTCCCTGACATCAGACTCTTCTATCAGGGAAAGGAGCAGTGATCCCATCAAATGCATTTCTCCCAGACTCTTGACTGAAGCATGTCTTTGGCAATTTACTGTGTCACACCTTAAAATATGGGGTAAGCAGATGAGTTATACTGTCTGTCTGCCTTGAGGAAACTTTTTTTTTTTTTGAGACAGGGTTTCTGTGTAGCCCTGGCTGTCCTGGAACTTGCTCTTTAGACCAGGCTGGCCTCAAGCTCAGAGATCTACCTGTTTCTGCCTCTCCAGTACTGGGACTAAAAGTATACACCACTACCACCTCTTGTGCAAAATAGTGCTTAGCACTTTGCTATCCTATATTTTATCTGCCACACCAAGCCAAAATCCTGCTAATCTCCACGTGCCTTCCAGTGGGAACACCCTAAATTTCAAATGAAGCTGAATGGAAAGCCACACACTGCTCTTCAGGTTGTTCTGTGTGTCAGAAATTACCTGCACTGCACACAAAACACCTTGTGTTACAAGCCATTTCACCAAAATAAGACAGTAATGTTCACCTCTTCATTTTCCCATCTCCTGCTATAGCTAAATGTCGAGACATAGACTCTTCTTCCACTCTGAGTACCTGGCACTAAGTTACTCTCTGCAGACATCTGCAAACCTTGGGCTGTATTCTTGTGGTGGCCACAAGCAGTGCAGGAAACCCCCTGCAATCCCAGGAAGTAAGGTGTCAAGGACCCAACAGAGGGGACAACCAGTCCTCCTCTACAGTCTAATGCAGCCTGCTGGACTTAAACCATGTTGCTAAGATTGGCCTTGAATTTCTGCTTCCATCTCCCATGGTGCTCCAATTCCAGCTCAGAGGCCACAAAGAAGTCTAGAAACAAATGCCTCAGGAGCTATGTGTAGAAATAAGCCCACTTACACCTGGAGCTGAGACTTCACTCTAATGCTGCCTAGCTACCTTTTATCCACGTAAGGGTCTCCAGCAAATCAACAATGATGCCCTAGCCAAAGAATCACCTTCCTCTTCCAAGTCTCTTCCTAGCCCCTGAGACCTGACTGATTTCTTCAGAAAGAAACCTGCACCTTCCTGAGAAGACTGTCTAGCCCCATTATTGTTGCATCCCACCCGGTGTCTAGTGTGGTACCACACCTATGCTGCATGCCCACAGCAGGCAGCCAATAAACATTTTACTGCAAAAAATACTGGTAGGTATTCAAGTTAACAGAATGTTACTCTTGAGTCTTTTCCACTCACCAGCTCTCCCCCAAACTCTTCCCCCCCCAGCCCAGTAAATCCTTCCATATCTTTCTCTGCTCATCTCAAAAGCTGTTAAGGCTTTGCTGGAACCCTGGACTAGTTAAAATACAATAAACAAAACATACATGTTTTGAGACAGAGTTTTGGTTAGAATTTGCCAAGAAGACCTGGCTACCCCTGCCTCCAACTTCTGGGATTGAAGGCATACACCACCATACCCAGACAGCAATAAGCAAAAATCAACCTTTGGGAATTGGGTCTCTCCTTCTACATATGGGTCCCTGGGATTGAATTCAGGTCATCAGGCTTGGTGGCAAGCACTTTTACCCAGAGTCATCTTGCTAGGCCCAAAAAGTTTAAAATTGGGCACTGGTAAGATGGCTCAGCGGTTAAGAGCATTTGCTCCTTTTGCAGAGGACCTGGGTTTGGTTCTTAGCACCCACATAGTAGCTAACAACACCTTGTAACTTAAGTTCCAGTAGATACCACACCCTCCTGTTGCCTCAGTGGGTACCTTGTGCACGTGGTGCATAGACATGTGTGGACGAACACCTTTACATATTCTTTCTTTGTAATGTAATATAGGAAAATGCAGATGAGGGAATAGCTCAGTAGTAGAACACTTGCCTAGCATACCAAAAGTCCTGGAATCAATACCAGGTACTACCTTCACAAAAAGAGCTCCAGCCTGGGCTACATAGCAAAGCAAAGACTGAAAAATAGAAAATCAACAAAGGACACAGAGCACATGCACATTTCTCAGCAGGGCTCTCCAATCTACCAGGTTTCAAGAGTTTGCTCACAGAGGAACATTGTATCATGGCAAGGACCTGTTCTGGAAATGGGAGCAGGGCATCTGTATTGTAAGCCCACTAGGTCCACCTTGCTGGCGGGGGGAGGAATCTGAACTAGCATATGCTGCCAGCTGACTCCCCTGCTACCTCTGCTGGGCCACCTGCAGAAGCTAGTTTGAACTCCCAAAGAAGAAATGACCACAACTTTGGTTTTAAATATCTTTTGTAGTAGATCATCTTATTTACATTGATACAGAATCACTTTACATTAAATCAGACACTAAGAAATGCTTTACTTTTGTAAATTATAAAGGAAAAGAAAGAAACTACAGAGATAAGTGTTCTTCATTAGCCTGTCTTACACTAGCTCCAGGATCTTGGAACACAGAAACTGCAACATGCTACCACCAGCAGAGGCTGGAAATAGGTTGCTTTACATGGTGGAGAGTCTTCACCGATGACACTGTGCTTTCCCCTCTTAACATTCATATAGGAAAAGACAATGATTCTTACCATTGAGTAATTTAAATACACTCTGGAAATCAAATGCCAGCAGTGGAAGAGGGGAGAACCAAGCCCTGGCTGGCAAAGCTATGGGTCCCCAGAGGCTGAAGGCTGTCCCACATGACCATGGTAACTTCGGTCAAAGGGCAGAAAACACCCCCACACCTAACTAGAACAATCTAATCAGCTGTCATCTGAGGTGAAGTGGATAGAGGGACTGTTACACAAGTGTGCCTCCCGGGGCCCTGGCACCCACTCTCCAGCTGCTTGGTACCTTCAATAAAACAAAAGCAAACCAACTCCAAGGTGAGTGGCAGATACCTCAGCAGAACCTGTCAGGAAAGATGGTGCTGGTGGGGTGTGCTGCCCCTGGGTCCTGGAGAAGACCACATGTCAGGAAGGACGTATTTCAGAACCTCCATGAGGTTTGTTGAGAGGGAAATTAATCACTTCACAACGTGTGCAGCTTAAGGCTTCATTTTAAGCTTAAGCACGGCCTTTAATTTTTTTAAGCTCTACTACATGCGATTCCAGATTATTTTTAGTGCTGCAAGAAGAGTCCAAGTGTTTTACACTGCCTGAGCTAGAAGCAAGTCACCTAAGGTGGGCAGGATATTTCCATTAGCCCAAAGGCCACACATCACTACCTAAGGGCAGTCACCATGACCTTCTATGCAGAGACGTGTCATCACGTAGTTTTGCGGTTGGTAGGTGGTTCAGAGGGCTCTGTAGACAGGGCTCCGTGCTGCTGTTCTGGGATCCTCCTGTGTCAGACGCCCTGGCCATGGAGAGGGACTGCTGTTCCTGATCTAGTTTCCAGTTGACCGTTTTCCTGAGCCAAGGAGACAAACAGTTATACCCCACATCTCAGAAGAACATATTGCTGTGAGAAAGGTTCTGTTAATCCCTGGAGAATGGCTGTGCTTCGAAGGTCAAGAGCCTCAGGACCTGGGGTGAGCATAAATGACAGTGTTTCTCCAGGCACAGAAAACAAGCACTCCTCCTCAGCAGACCCAGACTTGTACAGCACCACCCTGCCTGGGTACAACAGATGTTAAAAACTGCAGGAAGCGGAGAAGATCTGAGTTCTAGGCTTGGCTCCGCCACAATTTGCCTTCTGGACTGTGGGCAAGCTGATCTCACCACTGAGGGAGAAGAGCCCCTGGGAAATGATATAAGGAGGGCCGTGAGGCAGCCCCAAATTTAACCCATCTAGGAAGGAATCTAAATTCAAATGAAGAGACTGACCACTGCTGCCTGCTCCACCCTGTGCTGGCTAAGTACCATATGCTCCGCTCCGAGCAATGAGAGAATGCCATATTTACGCCTTTGACTGGCACCTCTCCCAGCTTCTGGGGTAGGGCATGGTGGGGTTTGATGTTGGTTAAAATGACCAGAAGAGAGATTAGTTCACAGAGGGAAACAGGGAAGAAAGCTCACAGGTTTTCCTACCTCAGCAGGGGTATCAGGAAGTAAACATTTTCTTAAGTTTGGAAAGGAATCCCTCATTGTCCTCCCCAGCCTCTCGCCTATCCATGCTTCCTGCGGAGCTATCCATGGTTCTGCCACCTGGGCACAAACAGCAGAAAGAACGGAGGTCAACCAAGATCATACACCTCCATGCAGCAAGTGCCAGCCCCACCTACCCATGCCTAGCTGCCCAGGGGCTGGTATTCAATGAGCTGCCAGGGCCCACTCCAGGAACACAGGGGCCACTCTCAGGCTGGCAAGGGGATACCTAAAGTATTCGTATCAGACTGAAACAAATGGGACACTGAGCCTCGGGACATCACAACTCTTCTTAGAGCCACAGACCCATAGAAGGAAAACAAAACAAAACAAAACAAAAACAAAAACAAAAACAAAAAAAAGGGGGGGGAGACAGACTATCTGTAATCTGAAAATTAACAAGGCAACACTAAATGCCAGAGGCCTTGAGGCCAAGCCACATCATCAGCATTCTTGATGTGTACACATCACAGCTACATGTACACAGAAGCAATGTTATCAGGTCCACCTAGAGTCCCAGAGCCAGCCAGCAGGAAGCAGAATTGAGCTTGAACCCAGCCCAGACTCTTAACCATCAAACTACTGGCTATAAGATAAGGAATGAACCTCAAGAAAATATCAAATTTCTGAACCCACTGCTGCATTTCACACATTATAAAATGCCTAAGATAACCAATGAGGGAGTCACTCATGCACTCTTGTACACCCCACCTTGTCTCTTACAATGCCACTGAGGTGTATATTACTCTGGCATCTAACCCTGACTGCTGCAGGTAATACACAGCTGCATGGCTGGGTTTTTAGGGCCAAGACTAAGGTTACCTAACTGCACAAGAAGCTTGCCAACCTTGAAAGAGGAAGGCAAACATTTGCTATATGAGTTAAACTATACACTTATAATATCATTTTGCTTGTTTTGGCTTTTCCTTATTTACGACAAGGTCTCATAGCACAAGCTGGCCTTGGACTCACTCTATAGCCCAGACTGGCTTTGAACTACTGGTCCTTCTGTTCCACTACTCCTACATATAGGCATGAGCCACCATGCCTGGTAACTGTTAACGTTTATTTATTTAGTGCGTGCATGTATGTGTGTGAGGATGCACATACAGGTGCACACAACGGAATGTGTGTGTGTGGAGGTGAGAAGACGACTTGCAAGGGTCAGTCTGTCCTTCCAACAAGTGGGCTCCAGAGGTTGTACAGTGTACACCAATTAAGAGCCTGGTGTGGCGGTGCATACTTTTAATCCTAGCATTTGAGAGACAAAAACAGGGAGATCTCTTTGAGTTTGAGGCTAGCCTGGTCTATACAGTGAGTTCAGGCCAGCAAAGGCTACACAGTAAGGCCTTATTTTAAAATAAAATAGCCCCAGCTTCCAACAACTATCAGGTCTGAGTCAACTGAGGCTCTTCAGAGGCATGGCTCTGAGAACAAGGGTAGGTAGGCAGTTTTGTGGAACACTGTTGTTTAACATAATAGCCACTGTCATCACAGCAGCTAGGACAACTTGCAAGATACTCTCAGAATTGGGCCTTTTGATGATCTTGAAAGATGGATTGGGGAGACCCTCACCTTCACTCCCCCCTGCACCTCCTGCCAGCTGAATGCACTTCTACTCCATAGTATGTGTCCTCTGCAAGGTTAACCGAAAAGGGACCCCATGATGCAGCTCCCATTAGGTCGTTACCCATGTGTAAGACATTTCTATACTGTGATTTTTTTTTGGGGGGGGGTCACTGACATTCCTGTAAGTAGCCCTTCACACATGTCTGGAAGTAAACCCAAAAAATTCACTAGTTCCCCCAAGCTAGACATGGGCAGAACTACTTTAGTCTGTCATTGGTTCCCTATCTGGGATGAGCAGACATTTGTTCACTTACATTGCCTTAACAAAAGTTCACACAACATATAGGTACAGCATAAACAGCAGGACCACAGCTCACTCTGTCTGGGCATACACAGAGCTAGGGTATACCCTTTGAAAAGGAATGGTGTTCTGAGCAAAATGCTGAAAAAGATCCAGGCAATCAGGACTGGAAGATGGCTTAACAGAGATTGCTGCTCTTGTGGAGGACCTGGATTTGGTTCCCAGCACCCACCTGAAGGCTTACAACCATTTCTAACTTCAGTTCCAGGGAATTCAATGACTTATGATCTCCATGGGCACCAGGCAAGCACATGGTACAAGCCATACATGCAGGCAGAACACATTAAAAAAAAAAAAATACACTTAAGGGGTTGGAAAGAGGTCTCAGAGCACTGGCTGCTCTTCCAGAGGTCCTAAGCTCAATTCCCAGCAACTACATAGTGGCTCACAACCATCTGTAATGAGACCTGGTGCCCTCTTCTGGCCTGCAGGCATAAGCAGGCAAAACACTATGCATAGTAAATAACTTTAAAAAAAATACACAGGCAAAAATTTAAT